GAGTGAGAGAGAGAGAGAGACAGACAGACAGAGACAGAGAGAGGGGACTGACCTGCTGGCTGGCGGCTCCCTCGTTGACTGGTGGTGGCTGGCTTCAACTCCTTGTGGCTGCTGCTCTCGGTGATGGCTGCTGGGCTGCAGGCGGGACTTCAGCGGATGAACGAGGATGCGGGCCGCTCCAGAAACTGGCAGCAGCGGCGGGCGGGAGGTTTGAAAACGGCGCCCAACCACTCGCCACCCCACCTCAGTAACCTGTGTCCGGGCCTTCGACTCCTGTCGGTAGGCCGAAACGAAACAAAAAAACCGGCCCCATATTTTTTAGGGGGCGCCCAAAACCCGAAAAATGTCCTGGGCAGTTCCCTTTTTCAAAAAAAAAGATTGGCGGGGGGGCGCTTTCCGGATGTCCATAACCGGACACCGGACCCCTACATCTTGACCCGAACTGTCTAGAAGCCGGTCTGGACATCCGGTCGGTTACCATAAAAATAAAAAATAAAAAAAAAACTATTTCCTGCAAGTGAAAAGCGGGGGTGGGCGTTGGGGGGGGAAAGCTAGAAACTTGAAAAAGTGAAAAACATAGGAAAAATATAGAACAATAAATGGAAAGATACAGGATGAACTACCGAATAGGGATAAAGTTTGATCAATGGAACAAAGAATGGTAAAGGCAATGCTGGGGATATACAATCACTAGATATAAGGAGGAACATCCAATTGTTACAACCTGGTTTAGTCGGGGCAGGGGTGACTTTTGGTATGGATACACTACACAGTGGGAGATGGTATAGTAGGATGGACTGGGGGAAGGGAAATGGTATTCTAGAAATAGCAGACCGCTGGACTACGGGAGATCAAGGTTGGGGGATGGGCGCTCTGTAGCAGGCCCCCCTTATCTAGGAGTCTAGTGCCGCAAGGGCTTGGCTGGCCCCTTGTTCTTGTCTTTTGTCTCCATTACATTTGTGTACAACATGCTTGCCGGTGATAAGCAACCAGACTTATGGCCCCCAGAATAGAAGGGGCCTGAAGGTTTTTGTTATAAATAAATTAAAAAAAAAAGTCAGCAAATGCAAAAGACACGAAAGCCAGCACGACTTAGCTTTTCAGACTTGTCTTTTTCCCTCTGTTTCCTTGAGGGCGATCTTCATGTTCAACTTCCATTCAACATAATGGAATGGTGGTGAAAGGATTTCACGCTGCAGACCCCTGAAAGTCGGCCCTAAATCCCCGAAAGTCCAGAAAGGTCCGAAGTCCCAAGTCCCAGCTTCACGTAGTGTGCGTATGTTAGGCCAGTTCCGCGCATCATAGACCTAAAGTCAAGAAACATCCGGAAACGTTAGGTTGAGGTTTGTCTACTACTGACTTCATCCCACCCTTCGTTG